TGCTCTTTCTGGTGTCCCCAACGTTGCTCCTGCTGCGCTTGAGGGCCAAAGCTATGGTTATCTGATTTACCAGCAAAGTGGCGCGTCCGTGCAAAAGAGGGTCAGCGATATTATGCCTGGTGATATTGTAGAAATTCAGGACGGCAAGTTCAAGGGTCACAAGGGTTTGCAGATTTACCATAAGGAAGTTGGAGGGAGCGGGGAAGTGTTCCTCGGTGTTGTTGGCGAGTTTGAGGTGAAGAAGATGAAGATGAAGGTGCTTCAAGCTAATCAGCATGTTGGTCAACAGGTCAGTCAGACTTCAATGCGTATCCGTTATTTCAAATCTAATCATACATTTACAGACCGTGGAAAATGTCAGCTATAAATTGGAAGATTTGAAGAGTGGAACTGTGAAGGTCCGTTTGAGTGCTTTGCTCATAGTGTCACTTGCTAATTCCACCCCTTAGGTTTATCGCGTTCTCGAAGCATAGCTAAATAAATGAGGTCCATTTTTCATGATTTCGATGACACTGTCTCTCTCAAACCAGAATGAACACATAGGTACTATCATGGATTCCGTAACCGTACAAATATATCTACACAACATTCATTGTTCAAAAATGCATGATATCAGCAAAGCGAGGACGAAAGGAAAAGAAAGAAGAAAACATGGCCGACAAGTAACCTCAAATAAGTCTGGACGATAATCATGACATTATCTCGCCCAGAATCTCCCTTGACCACGCAGCGTCATCTTGTACCCTTGCAGCAAAGAAAGGACCTATAGTTTCATGAAGTCTTTCCATCGTCTCGATGTCTGTTGCATTGCCTGGATTTAGAGGATATGTCATATCGCTGCCTTGCGGCTTCAAAACATTTAGAGCCTCCTATAATGGGCGTGAGCGTTGTGTGTGTGCTCAGGTGAGGAGATAAAAGAATTTACCATGACGGATTTCGAGAGTCCGACAGCAGATCTCCCTGCGCTGGCACATTCTGAGCCAACCACCTTCGCGCCACCTCCTTCAACCAGACCTTTCCTAACGGCTTCCTTTCCAACACTGATTAGGCCACGAATAGCTCCTTCTCTTGTGCCAAAGCTCTTTCCTGGTGAAATCAGTGCGAGTAGGAGGGTTTTCATAATACGTGGCGAGAGAGAGGGGTATGTCGTCGAGTGTTGCGTTAGAAGCTTGGATAGGGTGTGAGCTGATGATGTGCGCAGTTGGGCGGCGTGTGTTGGTGGGAGTGATGAGTGCAGCAGGATGGAGAGGATGGGAGGGAGGATTTGATGAAGCTATTATAGGGGTTCCATTAGTCAAAGTAATGACGCATACTGTAGGGAATACGAACATAAGGCTCAACAAACAATGTTGAGTTTTCTAGAATGGCAGCGATGACATCCATAAGGACATCCAACACTTTCCCTTCGCTTTCTGAATGGGAGCCCTCCTTAAGAGCACCCACGACGCCTTCGCCAACCCAGCGAACAAGATAGGGCAGTAGAGCCTGTAATCCAGCATCATGTCGTAGACTTGCCAATGCTGCAGAGCGTTTCGTCATATCGGATGAAGGAGGCAGCAACGATGATGTTAATCTGGCATAGTAGAGTTGTAGCTCCCTTGACAAGACCTGTTTCACCAGTTGTTGACTCTGTTGTTGATTGGGTTGTAGTGATGGCCCCTTCTTTCCAGCTGCGTTCAGAGCAGCAGTGCCAGAAAGTGGAAGAGTGCCTGTGCCGTTCACCGAAACACCATTGGTGAGTCCATTGATTTTCGAGAGTTCTGTCTTGTCGGCGTCCGTATCTCGAGGAATAGCTGGTGGATTTTCTGGAATCAAGGGTTGTACGCCCTCCACCGCCAGCCAATGTGCAGTCCAGCTGACTCCTTTGGGTAAAGCAATCTTCTCCTCTCTCAGCACACGATCGAAATCAATTTCTTCATCTTCAACAAAGTAAACGGGGCCAACTGAGGGCATTTGGGGGAATGGCAGAGCGCGTCGGAATGTTGTTGGGTTGTAAGGTGAGTGACCGTATAAAGGCTCGATATTAATCACGCGAAGAGCCTGCTCTATGTCTGCAGTGGTCATGGTTGTTCTCCTACCATGACGCATGAAACGCGCTGCTTCCTGTGCAGGTTAATTAGATGCATTGCAAATGGATGGCTCATGCATTCGCGTACTTCAATCACTTGATTGATTCTGTACTCGACATCGCTCGCAAGCTGCGATGCCACATTATCGGATATTGTTATATTCAATGATTCTGCAATATCCTAGAACATTTGAGTTTTGACCATCCTGTAAGCAGACGAGATAGAAATATGTAACACACCTTGATAGAATCGACTTTGTAAACTCCTGTTTGAGAGCCTTGGTTAGCCTTAGCTTTTGGTGCTTTCGTGCCATTAATCTGTACAGAAGTCATAATAGTCGTTAGAATTATTGTAACACCGTGTTGGTGGATGGCAGTAAGATGTGGTAACAAAAAAGGAAACTAGTCTCGAGTCTTGCTTGTCTGTGTTTGGCTAGGGCCTGTCTCCTGGATTGTGGGATAGTTCGGCGCCGGGCGGCAAACTCGATGGAGAAACATTGACCAGTACTTACGGTTCGTCGCTCTCCAGGTCAGGCTTCAGACCGTTCGAAACTACAATCCGTAAGAGTGTCAGGACGTTTTATGGGACGATGTGTACTTTTTACGTCGGTCGTATCTGTGCAACCATGGTTGGCAATTCTGCGGCATCGACACCCACTTGACGATGGTCAGGGAGCCGGATTGGATACCATTGTAATTGAATCGACCCTTGCTCCGTTGTGGCAATTGACAGATGGCCAGAACATAGTAGTTTTCTACTCAAATAATTTCGAGCTAAGGGACGGAATATCCAACTTCCTTCAATGCCACCACACCCGTTCACATTTCTTCTGTAAATCCCCCACAAATCCCCTTAGTATCCAACATGGTCACGGTCTTGACTGAGAAGTTTGTATCTCCGCACCAAGGCCTTGTGCCCTCTGACACTACTCGCAGAGGTACGTTTGTCCCCCGAGTTTCAGGTGTCAATGTTCGATCTGATCCCGTTGGCCCTTGTGTACCTCGTTTCTAGCGCTTGTTGCCACATTCCACGGCCTTGCCTTGATCACAACTAGTATTCGTCTCTTGCAAAGGCTTAAAGTTCGCCGGCTGTGGTGGGATGACTTCTGGGCCTTCATTGCTCTTGTCAACGCCATACTCGTGTGCATCATATTTTTTCTTAGGCCGTATTTTACGGGTGAGCACACCGTCAATCACTACAAACCAATCTCACTTGATTCATAAACACCTCACACTCTATCCCACCCAGTCTCGAAATCGATTTCATTTCAAATATTTGGAGATATTGGCAATGTGATGTTTTATGTCTTCGGGCTATGGTGCATATCCTGCTCTTTCAAACATTGGCTATTTGCTCACACCATCCCCAAGGTGTGCTAAGGTATCCATGGCCGTGACCTTGGTCCGACTGCTTCCTCCAGGAAAATTTAACACTATCGCAAAATCAGTAGCAATGCTTTTCGGCATACTTGGAGTTATACTCTCCATACACAGAGTTTTTGGATGCAACATTACAAAGCCTAGTCGTCGGCCATGCATAATCAAGCCCAGTATTGGCTACATTGAAATTGTTTGTAAGAGCCAGATTCCCGTTGGTTTTTTTAGCGCCTTGATTATCTGACGCCCTTTTTTAGTTGATTTAACATCAGATATGTGGTTGGTTGCTGCTCCTCTATATATGATATGGCAGCTTCGGCTGCGCCTGCCGGCCCAACGCTTCCGTTTGTTCTCGGTCGCCTTTGCCTGTGGGCTCTTTACCACAGTAGCAAGTGTGGTACACGACGTGTATGTTTTCCGTTCCGCGCCAGTATTAATGGGCCTCACTGCTCATGTGCAGGTATGTTTTCATTACCTTCTCTCTCAATAGGAATACTTATGGAGGAATTTTCTCAACACTCTAAGCTCGGAGTTTCGATCGTTGTTTGCAATCTCTTGGTTCTGCTGACTTCCTTCTATCGGAAATTTCGTAATAATGGCGACACGACTGAGCGCCATGATTCGACGGTCCCAACAGATTATAGCAGGGGACGGCTGGCTACCGTTTCAACACCTCAGGCTCCCTCTGATGTCCACATATCTCCTAACAGCCCAAGCGCCACGGATATTATCTCCTTCACTGAGCTGGGATCATCGATGATGCATAGCTTAAGCAGCAGCTATAACCCCTCGAGCTATACGTCCAATATCTCGAAGGGTTAAGCTCCGACATGCACGCTGGCGTTGCCCCGAGCGGCTTGACCGCTAGCCTCCCGAATCGTTCCATTCTATTGGCGGAGAAAAGCTTCATACATAAGTGCATTTAGTCTAACCTCGAGGGGGGATCATTCCCCTTCCCTATCATCAAAGTTCACACCCATCCGCTTTTGTTATCATATTTTGACAATTAATAATTACACATTCGATATCACCTCGTTACCGTAGCCGGGCAACCACTTCGATTTAATGTGAATTAAGGGCATTGTATTTGCACTTAATGAAGGACCTAATAAGGTGTGCTCGAGGGCTATTCACATGATTACATGAATGCTCGAACCTGCTTTTAAATACAAGCTCGGGGTGGCATTTGAAAACTGTACTCTACACGTAAAGACCCCATGTAGTCAATTCAAACCTATTAATACACCAACATGCAACGGATTTGAGCAGTTCAATACATAAGAATTCATCACAATCTATGAGAAGTATCCTCAGGGATAATACAAATATCATCACCATGACCCCTATTGTTGAGCGGAAAGGTCCCAACCAGTCGTCCATGCCACCATCAGGTGCCTGTTTCAACGCAATTCAGAACCAGGTGCATAGATACCCGCCATGAATTCTAAACTACGTACTTTAGCCAGAGACTCATAGGAGCCACAAGGGACGATCATGTTGTTTTCAAGGGTACTACATTCATCATAACGATGGCAAGGCCCACTTCCCCTCCCATGGGCTTTTGGCACAGTGGTAGCGCGCACGCTTCGCATGATTTAATGTTTCTGCGTGAGGACCAGGGTTCAATCCCCTGAAAGTCCACTTTTTGACTGAGGAGATAAGCCTAAATACACAGGGACTGGCGTGTTTTTCTTTTCAGCCCAACGACCATTGCAGGGACGTTTTTGGCCAAAAAGGGTCTTCATTTAGAGGCGCCAATGTGAATAGACAATTAGCTCTCGGACATGTTGTCATATCAAGTCGCATAGATGTTAATATACAGGCGAGGAGTAAACTCAATCGTACTGTGCTTGTAGTCCTGGTTTACTCTTAGTCCTTTGTGTCATGCGTTCTCTGCAAGCCGAAGTCAGCGACTCCCCTGTTGCGCCTGCCGGCCCCAAGAAATTCCCTCTCCCGTTATCTGCCCCTAAACGAGCCACCCAATCGAGACACGTCTATCAGCATACATAGTTAGCCCTAAATATAACTACATTGATGAGCAAGAAAGCGTTAAAGCATCAACCCAGAAGCAATGAGCTTTTGACGCCCATCGGCAATGCTCGGGAAGTTCCGAGTGAAGGTCTGGGCTTCGACGCACCAAGGTAGCATACTGCCAGCCACCCAAAACATCCTTATTTATACCCCAGAGCATTCCAGGAATGAAGTCGGATCCCGTCGGCCTTGTTTTCGATTCGACTGTTTGGCATTTATTGGACAGACCTGCTTTGGGTACACATCTCCGAATCTCATCTCACTCCCATACATATCTTCGAAATGCGCATCCCAGTTCTATTCCCTCGAGTCGACTTTCCAACGCTCTCACTGCCAGTACTACCCGAAGAGAGCCATGCTGATACATCGGATATTCGCCGGTGCAAACCGAGTTTTACAGGATCTTGGTTTCAGTGGTGTCCTATCGACGTTGTCATCTGGGGTAAGCACGACCTCCACATTTAGATCCACTAGCTTCGAAGGGCCCTGTCAACCAGTGGACAAGTTTAGCAAACGACGAGTTTGAGCGAGAAGATGACATTTGTGCCACCTCATATACAGCTATCATCTCGACTGTCATTGCCATCATGGCCTGGAAACTGTACACGACGAATCGTTTGCGTCGCACAAAAGGGCGAAAAGTGACCCCGGTCAAGAAGAATGGATACTATCGCCTGTCATTCCCACATCCGATGGATGGCGATTATTCGACGGACGAAATGACTCCGCCATATGCGGAGAAGGATAATTATGGACATGGGCATGAACATCTGGGTATGCTTTCTGTTTCTACACTTCAGCACCAGCGGTGGTCGAATGACGGGGCATGCAGTGGCTGACTCTTTCGCATCGCATCTTACTCTTCGCAGAATTCGCAGGACCCACAGACCCATACCACGTCGTCTCAACGCTCGATGATTCACTTATCGCAAAGGACGAACATTTCAAGCATGCGAAGATGCCAGAGCCGGTGTTGAGTGATAAGAGGGCAGAGAAGCCATCTGCACTTGGGTTTTCACCGGAACGCACTTTTACGACATCTCCTCTAGTCTCACCTCGGATGGAAACGACGGGTTCGTTTAACACGAGCCAGGATAGTCCAGTGAATACTCCGCGCATTTCATCTGGACAGTTAGGAACATTCGTTAATCAGCATGGACCGATTGTTATGCCGCGTCCTGATAATTATGTAGCCTTTGAAGGTGTGCCTATTTTCATTCTGCAATGCCCATGTCCGCTAAAACGACGGCATATTCTTTCTGTAGCTACTCCCCCACCAGTTTACATACCCAATCCACGTCTAGACACTGTTTAAGCGCCTCCTATTTGACTCTGTTCATTGGCAATCTCTTTTCTTCCATTTGTAACCCAGGCACGGTCTGTCTTGCTTTTCACAATCTGTAATTTGTCGTGTTTTTATACCTCTTTGTTTTTCGCATATTGTACCAATATATTTTCGAAGTCGTTTAATTTTACAACATCAATAAACGTTCACATACATACACCGTAATATGAATCATAGTTTGTAGGGGTATCAACAACAAAGGAAGGGTAAACAAAACAGAGAAGAGATACAGCAATAGTAAACAATAACTCGACACACACACATAATCCACATCATAAATTACCTGGTCACACATAAAATCAGGGAAAAAAGATGTCAGCGCGCTACCAGAGCACGCCATACCACAAGTCGAAAAGAAAGACAGGTCGGACTATGAACCGCCCTCGAACTTCTTCCGCCTCTCCTCCACACTCAGCGGCGCACTCTCCTCCTCGTCCTTTTTATCCTCACCAGGCGCCTTGAAGAAATTCTCTGCCATGACTGTAACCCCAACAGCCTCAACTCCTGCACCACTTCCTTTTCTCGTGCCCCTGCCCAAGGCGATCGAGCCCTTGCGTATCGTGCCCATAGGTCCACCACCCGAGTTCTCGATGCTGATCACCGACTTGGCTTTACCATTCACAGGGTAGCGGAACGTTCCATTACTGATACTCTGGCTTGCAACGTGTGCTGAGCGCGCATATGAAGACGGGGGTGGTGGAGCGTCGTTTGATTGCGTTGAGCGCGCAGCGTTCGATGACCTTGACCCTGTCGAGCGATGTCTCTTTCCAGAGATCGCTGCGCCAAAGGTTGTAGTCGCTGCATTGGGTGATGCAGGGTCAAGCCACGAGTCGTCGTCGTCCTCTTCATCACGCAACACGTATTTAGCTCCTCCAAAACTTCCATCTGAGTCTGTTGATGCTGCAGCGCCAATCACAGAGGTTTGAATGGGTACAGCCTCGGTACGATCCACGACTTCGTCAAATATCTCGTAATACCTTCGGATACACAGAGTTATGACTTGTCCGAGCGTCGTTTTGCCTTCCGCTGGAGTTGATGTAGAAGAAAATTCGAGTTGACCAGAGGCAGATGGCATGTATGGGGTCATTGCTGTTGCTCCAACGCTACACATCATAACGTCTTTCATCGGGTTGGATCCTTTGACGAGGTTAGGGCAGATAACGATAGCGAGGTTCGTGGCGTCCATCTTGTTGTATGAGCTCCGTAATGACACATCATGGAGCAAATCTACGAGAATACGATCAGCTACGAACACGTAAATATGCAGCGGAGACTTACGCAGTATGTATGATAGTAAAATATAAGCGCACGGAACTAATTCAGGAAGAAGAACGTCTCTGATATACTGCATGGCAGCAAACTCGGCTTCCTGCTCAGTTTCACCTGACTTCACGCCCCAAGGGCATTTCCTGATGACAGGATAAACGCGCTCTGGAATGATGGGTTCTGGCAAATCTCGGAGATACTTTTTGAGCAGGACAGCTGCGATGTGGGGATCACCAAAACTTTCCAAGGAGACAACGTTTCCGCGATCGTAAGCCTCCTGAGCAGCTCGGAGCATCACAGATGATGGCGAGCGACGGAACAGGCCTTCGTCTTGCAAACCTGAAAGCATATTAGAATCCGAGTATTGGTGAATGGCGGTTTCTATGCTTACCTGTATCTCGAAGGAACTGGATCGAGTCTTTAACAACCCTTGGGATTGGCCCTTTTTCGCCGTTGAAACCCATCAGTTCTTCCAGTGGCACACCAAAAATACTTGATCGAACAGGTGTCGGTAAGGTAATTTTGCGCTCGAATTTTAAATTTTCGCTGGAAACAAAGTCAGTATAACAATTTTCATCCCAAATAGGTGAAACCTACTGATATACAGCTGGTGGAATATCAATTTGCGTTATAGGCACATGGAGTGCAAGTTCCGATAATGTAGTGATGTATGTCAACTTTCGGAAAAACTTGGGGCTGGAGAGACACAATTAGATGAAGTCGCGTGGACAAAACGAGGTTGTAACCTTATGATAGCTCCAGCAAGAGAGAACAACACTAGAAATAAAGCGTTAGTTATAATAATGTTTCATGACGACAAGTTCTTTACAAACTTTTGGAAAAGAAAGATGAATGTACAATGTACTGTCAAATTATTAAATGACTCGCATTGACATGTGGTCGGGGCAGCGAGGAGAATAAAGACCCACCAATTGTTTGAGATTCTTACGATACTTTCTGCTCAAACTTCGGTAAGCTTTCCATACCCAGTTCCAACTAGGCGCATGTTTGGATCCAGCTGCGAAGAACACGACAGTGTAGTCCGCCTCGACTGGTTATTCGGGACCCGTAGCGAAACAACAAGCCGATGTTTGTAAGAAAGCATTGGAGCAAGAAAAGAGTTTACAATAAAAAAAACACTCGTAATTAGACGAGAGACAGATGAGAGACAGCATAAACATACCATATAGATTAAGGTATGATAGAATTCGCCTGTTGGAAGTAGAACGGACGATATATGAATAGGGAGTTAGACAGGAAGTCGGGTAACAATGGGTTCGTTGGAGAAAACAGTGTTACGCACGTTAGTAGCAGGTCGTATGAGACGATTTCAGGATCTGGGAGTGCTGATGCATTGAGAACCACCCTACGAAAGGATGTTGAGTTCGACATAAAACATTCAGGGGTAATGGGAACATACATAGGTCGCGTTCTAGATGATGGTAATATGATCTTCATGAGGATGAAATCTGAACAGCAAGAGATATAGCCACGTACTCAAAGTCCACGCCTGCTTGGAATATCATCTTGCCCAACACCTCTTGAACCATTCTAATTTCCTCGTCCTCGTAGAGATGTTCATTGCTGTCATTTCCATTGCTTCCCGACGCGTTTGATCGCTTCATCCATGTAGGTGGATTGAACTGAATCTTTCTTCTTCCCGTTGGTGTCGTGGGTGCCTGTGCATAGGAGCTAGATGGATTGTTTCTGTTGGAGAAAGTAGACGAAGTGGCTGTGGAGAGCGCTGCCAAACGTTGTTTGAGATTCAAAGACGTTGGAGGCATAATAACCGGCGGTCTTTTAGCGCCCAGATAGAATTATTGATGATTTATCGTTTTATTTTCTTGAATATTGTCGACGATGAAGACGAAGGTTTAGCTATGGACCCGAGAAATGTGGAGTACTGTCGATGACGGGAACAAGAACCACAGAGCGACCCTAATTCCGAAAAATGGAAAGCAATCTCCATTAGGAAGGTCATCTTATCATGTCACGTGGC